TTTCCCTAGGAGGGCTTTGTCCTCCTTCCTGCTCGTACCCTTCGCAGCCGCCGGCTGAAGGGGTGCGAAGGGAACCGAGCGAAAGGAAAACTTTCGGTGGAGCCCGCTTGGCTTTTCTCCAGGAAGGCCCGGCCCGCAGGTTGGCCTGGAAACCGGTGGGGGGGAGGGGAGAGATTCGAGGGCTTGAGGGGGGGCGGGGGGACGGGGATGCTTCGGCTCCGTCTTAGGAAGGGGCGCCGAAATAAACGGGGGGAGGTTGGCCTCCTTACCCCTCTTCCCAGCGTGAAGCCCCCCCCCCCTTGCCTCCTTTCAGCGGGGAGCTTTCGGTGTTTAAAATCCTCATTAGTGAAAAAGGGGGAGCGGCGCAAGAGAAAGGAAGACTTGGGAAGTTTTCATCGAAGGGCTGGAAAGTTGGGGGTGAAGCTAAGTTTGATGCCGACCCGAAAAGACCGGAGCGGTGGCACTCCTCGTTGGCGTTGTTGTTTCTCCCCCCCCCCAAAAAAAACCCCTCAAACTGGGATTCATAAGATTTACTCTTTTTAAACAAGCTGGTCTGAAGTTGAAGCCTCCCTTTGCAGTTTCTCACAACACTTTGCAATGGTGATTATGGGAGATTAAAAACCGCATTTGGAGAAAGATTACTTCCTCCAAGGGTTATTTTTTGGCTGGAGATGGGATGAGGGTTATTTGGCTTATATAGTTCCACGAATGGTGGAATGGACAGACAATACCGTTTAAGTTGAAGCTTGTGGAGATGGAACAGTAAGTGTCCCAAATAGCATTAAACAATGATTTCCTGCGATGCTGTCATCATGTTCATGTCCTTTCCTTGCTTTAACTCCAGTTTGCTCTATCTACCAACTTTATTGCCATACCGTACAATTCTGCCTTGTAAGTAATCCTAGGATTACTTTTTGAATGAAAGGAAAGTCTATGAAAATAACATGTGGCAATTTGGATTTGGCAGTGAGAAAATTATTCTGTCAAAATTCTTCAATTTTCTCATTGTGTCTCTAAAAAATAGTCTGTACTTAGATTACACTAAATGTGCTACATAAATTGGAGGGATATTGGAAAATGAATCAGTGCTTGGATAGATATCAAAGTCTGCTCCAAAAAGTTTCTTATCAGGCACTTGTAGTTACATATTAGAGCCAGCAGTGCTCATTATATTGTGACGCCAGAACCCAAACCTAGTTCTGTTGAAAATGATCGGATAATAGAATGCATGAATAATAAATCCTATTAAGATGTGGGATTTGGAAGCAAGCATGTGCAGGATTGCAGTGCTGATCCCATGTACTCAAATACTAGTATTTCTGTAGAAAGTCGCTTTGTGGAGTTTGAAAGGCCAAGTCATTTTCTGCAATGTTAGAAGAATATACTTTGTATATTTGAATCCTTTACATTGTTTATTCAGGAAAGTTAATATTTGGAATGATAAACCTAGAAACACTTAAGTAGTTCACCATCCAAAATAAATAAATAAAAGTGTGGAAGCCTAATCATTATTCCATTTCTCCTTTGGTAAAACTGAACCACATAAAACTTACTTATTTTAATATGTGGTACAATGAGAAGGTAGGAAAAGTTCAAAGAATGCAGAATTAGTATGGAATAGTGATTTAATTTTAAAAATGTAAGCTATGTAGTGAGAAAGAGATTTCTTAAGAATTTTCAGTTCTTGTGCTCCTTTTCGCTCCCCTAAGTTGCATATCTCTAAAACTTTTCCTGTGGAAGCATCTACTTCAGAATTAAAATATTGAAGAACTGCAGAATTCTTATTGAGTTATTATAAACCTGGAAACACTTTTAGCAACTTTGGAAATACAGGAGCCATTCAGGCATGGGGAAGCATTTTGCACCCTGTAGCTTAGAAAGTTGCTACCTCTATCACACTATTTATTTTCACACTCCATTTATGATTGCAGCTTTAAAACAATAGTTTCTAGCCTCCCTCCAGTATAGACTTATCTTTCTCGTACATAATTCCTTCCAAGTTATCAATTTCATTTATTCATGATTAATCCAGATTATGGCAAATCTCAGTCACCACATTATCTGCCATTATTCATTAATTAATTTCCTAAATTGTGGGAATTTACATATTTTCTTTAGAAGAAGTCAATGAAAGTTTGGTTAGTATCTAATTTCATTCACCAAGTCAATAAACTTTTACTTTTCAACTTCAACTAGCATCTGTACTGATATTTAAATGGTCTGATACTTAAGTCTTAGCTTACTGTTTTTAACATTAATTGTCAGAGAATGTGGGTGTGGAAATGTGTATAATGAAAACATTTACTGAAGCATATTGTAGCTGAATATAGTATTCAACACTGTAAACTCAATAGAACTGAAAGAAGTGGGGTTGGGTCTTTCATATAAGAAGGAAGCAAAATTATTGATAACAATTGTAAGTAAGTAAGTAAATTTTTATTACTGTCAAAGACCAGCAATACACATTAGTTTTTACAATATGTTAAAAAGTACTGACATTAAGATATAATTAAAAAGAATTGACGTTAAAAGTAGAAAATAACATACATGTTCTCAGATTGTTCAGGTCACTCCCTGGTTTACCTGGGTGCAACGCTGTTAAGTATAGGAGTAAATACAATGGTCCAAACATTGTTAGAGATATATCCAGATAATTTGTACCAGATGACAACTATACTTCTGTAACCAATTTTTTTCTTATGGACATTGCAGCCGCACAGAACTTTGCCACTGCATATGTGATAACTGGGTTAGTGTCCTAGAGGAGAAAGCCTAGATAAAAACTGTCTGCCCTCCCTGGCAATCTGTCTAATAAGGGGAGAATATGGGCAGACTTACAAGCTCTGTATAGTTCACAGTGTAATAGAACATGTGAATTATCTTCCACTTCTTCTTTACCACATATACAAACCCGTTCTGCAATAGATGTTCTCTTATACCTGCCCTGGAGGAGTGCTGAAGGAAGAATGTTAAATCTGGCTCTGAAGAAAGTTATTCTTTGTTTTGGGAAGATCAGGTCATATAAGAAGGAAGCAAAATTATTGATAACAATTGTAACTTAGAAGGAATAATTAAAACTTAATTAAATATATAAGTATTGTATAGTCATCATGAAAATGGGTGAGGGTACTCTTTAGTCTTACATTAGAAATAATGCTTTACTGATTCAAATTAACACCTTTTTTCACACAGTACATTTTGCAGTTGATTTTGCTTGACGCTAAGAAAGGGATGACCAACACTGTATAAATAAGTTAAAAGAAGACTCAGGCAGTTTTATAAATGACAGAAATATCAACATATTGACTAAGATTACTAGGATAAATGTTTAGATATTTTGCTAAAAGTGCTTCTCATTCTAAAATTACTGGAAACTGCAAAAGGGAACAGGAAATAGTTCCCTATTAATACATTAACTGAGATTGCTTTGTGTAGTAGATTTGTATTCTGATAGGTCTGCGATACATATTTTGAGACAGGAGGAATGTCAAAATTGCATGTGAAAAAACAGTGTTTTTATTTCTCTGGTCATCAGACAAAAAGTTTTCAAGAAAATAAATTAATAGAATTCTGTGTGGGTGAATGAGTGGGAGACAGGAGGAAGATTTCCTTCATAAACAGCAAAAAAACCCACAA